ATTTGTGCATTTTGCCAGCTGACCGCTCAGTTTGATGTTATTAATCAGCAAAGCAACTTCCTGAATGTGATGCTTGCCAGTTTGTTGGGCTTAAGATCAGCTGACTTTCCTTCTGACAGCACAATGTTTCATTCTCCATTTGTAACTCACTGCTATTCGCAGATATTCAAGATTTCCTTCCAAATTCCACAATAACTACAGGAAGAGATCTTCAGTGAAGCAGTCAGGTAGCCAGGTGCTCATCACAGCCAAATGTTTTACAGTGTTGTCATTTTCTGGAAGGAAGGCATGCTCAGACGAGTTTGGGAGCATGCGTGCATGCATTTATGTGTTTTTCCTCTCTGGGAAAATAGGCCTAAGAGTGATAAGTCTGCAACCTTGGCTCAGGGGCTGCAGATTAGGAGATAGAAGTTTGAGCTCTGAGATCATCACTGATGTGCCTGTTCAGGATTTTGTTTCTCATTATCACTGCAGTAATAATCATTTCCTGTGAAGATTGCCTACTTTGCTGCTTTTAATCTGTTCAGCCTTTTTTTTTTTTATTTCCCACTGGCAATCCTAGTAGTTAATTATTTGTCTTAATGAGATTGAAAGGTGCCAAAGATGCAACTGAGGTACCTCAGGAAGACAGTAGTGACATATTTAAATCGGCTGCAGCTTTAAAGGAGCTCCCCCTCACATTAGAGTGTAATAACTGTCTCTTGACTGCACACGTTTAAACCGACCCAGGGCCAGCTTAATCACAGTTTTGGCTGACTTCGAGATAGTTTGGACCTTCAAGACGGGACAGTTTTCTGTCTGGCTGATTCCCAAATTAATGTGCTTTAGCTGTCTCTGCTCTAGTGAAGATGGTCTAAACATTCAAAGGGGTTTTATTAGCTTTACTAATGTGACCAACCTTCAAACTCCATACTTTCTATTGCGATGCGCATGACTAGTCAACCTTTTCGTCTTCTTTTAATAGTATACTGTCAGGTGAAGGCCGTTTGTACAGCCAACATCAGTCAACAAACACAACTTAGCTTATTATCTCCTTCCAGCTCAGCTTGTAGAACATGATTTCAAACTTTTTGAGTCTTTGGGTCAGCACCCATTTATGATGTTTGGGAATAATAAACAAAAAACACAAACCAGGAGAGGTCATTAAATAAAAACATGCAAAATGACCGTCAAATATTTGTGATTAAATATTTACATTTTAAATAGAAACCTGAACTAAATAAAAATAAAGCCTTGGGATTTCAGTTACATGCTTCATTTATTTGACCTTTGTCTGATCTGGCATTTATTTTACATCTTCTCTTCGATGGGAAAAGGGAAGAGTGGCTGCTGGTTAGAAGAATGAAACAGAAATCGCAGAGGAAATGTCAACTAGTTTATTAACAGGAGATCAAAATGAGATAAATGCTATTTTTTTTGTGGGAAGGCTGCAAAGTTTTCGCTTTTAAATCAAGTTGTGATATTCCTAAGTTTAGGAATGACATGTCATAAAGCAGATTTGTATTATGCTCATTGTTTAGATTTTATTTGTTTGTTTGTGTAAGCAGCTTTGCTTCCTCTTTGCTTTTTTTTTTTTTTCTCAGTTCCTCCATACAAAACGTATTCACCCGACCTTTTATATCTCATTTCCTTTATTCTCTCTGATTCTCTCTCTCTCTGGAAAGCTTTTTGGTTTCCTTTGGCGTCATACTACTCTTTTTAGTCTCTTTGTTCCTTGGTGGGGAAATGAACATGTAAGGACACATTTCAGGCTCATATCCGTACCCCATTATAAGATTAGATTAAGGTTTTTTTTTCTTCTACTTCTTTGGTAAATGCTCATCCTGTCTGCATCTCCCCAACACTGACCTCTTCTCTTACAATCTCCTCCTTCCTTATCAGTGTGTTCAGTCGTCTGTCTCTTTATTAACGTTATGTAATGGAGGATCATGTGAGAGCGTAGGGTGAAGGTTCACACTGTGCACCTGCGAATACTCGTCCTCCTTTTCCCTTTGATCTCTGCTGGATTTCTTTCTTTTCTTTCACCTTTCTTCCTCTTCCTCACTCTCTTGTCTGCGTTTCCACCTGATTTCTTCCTTCCTTGTCCCATCCGTTTTCCACGACTCCTCCCTGCCTTTAAGCCGCTGGCTCCTCGATTCTGAACTCCATCCTTTATGGGTAATTATGAGATCAGCTCAGTGAGGAGCGGAGTTTTTAAACGGTAGTTTAAGGCTCAGGACTCCTCATTAGAGCAGAGTTAGACTGTCTGTTGTGTTGAAGAGGGATAGTTAACTTGGTGTGTATCGTTAATAGTCAATCACCTTAAACTCAAGTGATTTAAATTCACTATCCTTTTTAATATAGATTCTCTGCATCATTTAAATCCTTTAATTTGGAGATCCTATAGAGTGGCAGTTAAGTGTTAAGTGAAGTTTAAACTTTATCTTAATTCTTTTCGCATGTGTTTATTTGCGTTTTCCTCCAAAATATGACTTTCTGTAGATGCCAGTGCCGTTAACGCCCAGCAGAGATTCCCCGTTTCCTGCTCTGTACCCATTTGTTTCCTGCCTTTATGTGTTATCCTGATCCCTGCACTGATTTAAAAATAAATAAATAAAAATCCAGATTTCAGCAGTGAGCCAGCCTCCTCAGAGATTTGAGCCTGGTCAGCTACCTCTGTGGGTCTCTCTCCATGGCCCTGGATCATTACCCTGCAGACAGACACACACCGACCTTTCCAGTGGCTAAATATAGGTCCGCCAAAGAATAGGAGGAAGGGAGGGAAAAATAAACGGGGGGATAGATGGATAGAATTAACAGCATGTTAAAGAAACTTGTTGGAGAGAAAGAGGCAGCCTGTGTTTGGGCTCAGCGGCTGCAGGCCTTTTTGGACAATACCCCAGTGATGGTTATCGGTCATTATGAGTACCGTTCCAACTGGAGTGACGTCAGAGTCCGTAAGAAAAGCAGACCTGCGTGTTAAACCCGCTCACCCTGTGATTATTGCTGCACAGATTGTGTGTTTCTCTTGGATGGGAGCACGCAGGTGGCTTGGGACTGCAGGCTAATAGTAAATGAGTTTTAATGCCCTGTACTTGGCTATATATAGACTCCAGCGAGGCCTGAAATCGTGTGCTTCCCCCCTCTGCCCGACAATCAGAAATTCTTCCTGTCTGGAGCAAAGTTTGCCAGATAGTACAAGGGGTTTTTTTTCCCTTTGTCTACTTAAGTTTTCACTGACTTGTGGCCTCCTGCGCCATCAGCCGTGGACTAAACCAGAGCAGCCATAAAACAAGCTGCATAATAGCTCAGACATGTTAACACTTTACTTGCTGCTGAGGAGTATTTCTCTAAGCTGTACAAGTTTCACGTGTTGGCATTATGTTTAAAAAAAGATTCCAAATTTTTTTTTTTTTAAGAGTTTCTCTGGAATATGGCGTGTTTACAGTCCCATAACACTTCTCTAACACTTTGTACACAGCTCTAGTGTGAATAAAAACAGCAAAACTGCCAGCAAAAGCACACACAAGACACATTTTCTGCATATGTTTTTACATGCACACTTAACAATAGAGATCAGTAGTGGAGGATCTTTTACTTGAAGTACAAGGCTTTGCTCTTTGGTCATGACTGGTCAGTTGACTTCAGGTTTTTTTAATTTTGGTATTACATCTCTGAAGTTATATTATCAGGCGTGGCCAGCCGGATAATAAAGTCTATGGGTGCAGCGGAAGCACAAACTTCTTGGAAGGACTGTACCACTCAGTAAGCGGAAGTCAACCTGAGACACTGATTACTTGTCATTCCCAGTGGCCACGCCCCAAATTCTACGAAACAATTGGATGAGTTGTAAAAACTAATTCATTGCACAGTTTTTTATGAAGGGGGAAACTAAACAAAGGTTTAGTTTTTGTTAGTTCGTTTTTGTTAATATACATTTTAATGCTGTTAAACTGGGCCTAGCATTAGATTTACTTGATTTGGAGCCAGCTTCAAGTGGCCACTAGAAGAACTACAGTCAGCCTAAGAGTCTGCACTAGGCGGCTCTCTAATACTTGCAGTTTGACAGGGTTCTTCCTGCATGCACAATGACATTTTGGTTTTGGCTTTACCAGGACTGTAATAAGTCATTTTAAACAGTTTTAATTGGCTTAAATTGAAAGGAGAAAAAATAACAAAATGCTGAGCAGCTATGGATGTGAAGTCTGCCCTCAAATGGCAATTTTTGAGCCAAAAAACTTTCTTTGTACCGCTATCAGAAGCAATTGTGCTTTTATTACTAGTTGCGTGAGGGGGGTCTTCTCCATTATTATTTTGAAACCCTAATATTCTTAAACAAGATTAATTAGAAGCGTGTCATAAAGTTTAGGGTGCGCTAGATTCCTAGGGGTGGTCATAGTTTGTATGAGTCAAAGTTTTATTGCTTCTCTAGTCTTTTTGATCTCCACCTCTCTGGCTTTTAGCCTCAGTGTGTGTTTTTACTCGCACTGCGGTAACCACCAGCTGTAACAGATGCACCTCCAACTGGACCCTCATTGGTGCATCTGTTGAAATGCTGCACCATCAGCGGTGCTTGCTGTCTGGCTTTCTGGGTCCGTCTGTGTTGCTTCTGAATCAGTTTAGGAGGCGTGAATGAACAGGTCTTGTGTCTCTTTTGAACTGAGATGTAAACTGTGTACAGTACTTTTAATGCAGATTTATCGTTGTGATGGTAAAAGCGTGCCTCTACAGTGCTTTCAGGACAGGCCAACGTGTGTTTTGTAAACACGGCGTGACAGTGAAGCAGGGATCTTCTGGCCAAGCAGCTTTAGACAGATCACACCCTCACGCTGCAGCTCTCTGACTCTGCGCTGCAAACTCAAAACTCTTTTGGCAAGTTTCAGTAATCGAATCATATTTTGTCTTGTTTGTCGTGACTCGGCCATTTATTTTTAGAGCTAAAAGCTTTTGTTGCTAGGAGACTGTGTGTCTTAGAGGCTGAGTGAGGGAGGGAGGGAGGGAGGGACAGTATGAAAGAGAAAAGAAATGAAGAAAGGAAGCGATGGCTGCGGCGTTGAGGGGGAGAAAGGCGGAATCTGTGAAAGGCGAACGACAAAACGAACGAGCTATGAGTCAGCAGGGACATCTGCAACACATGCAGTGGGCACGGTTGCTATTTCTGTGTTCTTTGTCTGTGTGCTCTGTGCACCCACGCATGAACCCACTTACCTCTCGCCACTAACCTGTGTTGTGTATCTGTGTACTTTGCGAGATATTAGCTCGCCCACTTTGATTCAATCCCCTCCTCCCCGCTGTGCGTTGTGTGTGTCACTGGGCATCTGTGCATGTACTACATGTGCACATGTGTGTTTTTCATCGGTGATTGTGTCACAACGCCTAACCTGTCCCCAGTGACAAGAGCCTTATTGTCCGCTGTATGAATCATATGCTTGTACCCCATTAGTAATCTGCCTTCAAATGGCTGTTAGCGACTATCACAGCCAGCTCGTCTGTCTTTTGGCTCTCTCTCCGAGCACCATTGGAGATCAGATAGCAGCATGTTGTTTATTAGTCACCGGGAGCGCGCCTGTTTTTCAGGATATTTTTTACTCTTCCTTACGATTGCTTAAGTTTTTTAGCTGCCAACTTTAAAAAAAGAAAATACTTATAGTTGTAGCCAGCATATTTGCAGATTTGGAGAGTGAAAGTCACGTCAGAAAACTTGCACTCCTTTAGTTTCTGTCACATGTATAAACAAAGTTGCAGTGTTGGTTACTCGTATTCAACAGGACCAAAGTTTCTCAAGCCCCCTTTTTTCTTTTTGTAACTCCAAAATCTGTGTGAGATAAGTGAAGGCAAAAAGCTCAATTATATAACTGTTGTACCACCTACCTATTGCTGAAACATTATGTTAAGAGGGGCAGCCAATCAAAAGAAAGGTTGCTAAAACGAAGGTGGTATAGCTAGTATGGCTCACAGTCAATGAACTGAGAGGCTGCAGCGAGGCCCGACTGTAAGATAAAGATTATTTTGAACCGTGAATCATGCAGAGCTACTCTGACCGTCCATGAATAAAAAAAATATGTTGCAATACAAATTTAGATGACTAATGCGCTTGGTTAGGTCAGTCAGTTTGAATTCATAAAATGTCTCCATCACTGTGATGTGATGACTCAGGCTTATGGATTGAGCCCCTTGATGCAGGAACATTTATGAAATATCATTAATTTGATGGGAGAGAGATGGGGGGCGTGATGAGTGATAGCATGTATTACTTTTGGTTTAGTAGACGAAGCAGTGCTGTGAAGTTTTCTTGCAAGATTTGGAGTGTGCTGAACAACAAAATGTTCTTAAATTTGAACATTACTCAACTGGTGTGTCTCCGTTACTTAGCCAGATGTTGATGCACAAGGAGCTTGCACCAGTGTGGCAGCATGCCGGTGTTTGCAGAATTTGAAGTCCTGTGATGATATTATGAATAGTTTTTCATGCTCTAAAGGATCTGCTTCCATGGTTGAGTGGTATGTGTATATGACTTCTTGTTATGTGGCTGCGCTGTGTATTGTAAACATCAGCCAAGTGCCTTTTTGTGGCTTTCTTTCTCTCTGTATGACTGATGTCTCCATAGGTCTTAGTTTACGCACTGTCTTTTGTTGTGGTTAGATGTTGCCAGTTTTGGTCGGTTATGCATTACTGATACGGTCTGCTTCTGCAGCTGATACTTACACCGCCATTTCCCTGACTTATGTATTCATGGTGAGGCCCAGCTCCACTTTGCACACCTGATAGTGGACTTTGGTTTCCAACTGGGTTAGTTTTTCCATGACTCACTTTGACTCCATTTACACCTGCTAATAAAATGTGATCTGTTAGAGAAAACATGTGTTAATTTCAAAGTGGATTGTAAACACAAGCACCGCTGTGGTCTGAATTTGAATGTATCGCAGCACTGCGAACAGTATCAGCACGGGCAGTTGTATGCGAAAGCAAATCACACGGTGTGTTGAGGATGTGCTACCTGTTTGTGTGTGGTTAGGGATGATGTGACCCACTGTAGAGTTTGTCATCCACTCAAGCTTCACAAAACACCTTCACACATGATTTGTTTCCGTCATTTGTTGCACTTTTAACTGGTTCACAGTGAAGGACTCAAATAGATACAAACACCTCTGTAGCAAAAATGACCTTTTGACAGAAACACTGTAAAAAGCCCCTTTCTGCTCCGATTTAAAAAAGTACATTTTTTGATAAACTGACGTCTGCTGTTTTGTTTATTTCAAAGAAAAGAGCAAGTGTGCACAGATCCAGGCTAATTATTTTGGGTGCCAGACCCAAAACATAATATGTCTGCATGCTGTTTGGCTCGGTTCGTAAAACATTCATACAAAGGCAACATTCTGATCTCTCTCTTCTAGAGAAGGCCAAACCTACAGCCTTGGGCCTGTTTTAGACTTCTGCAGGCAGACTTTGTAGGGGCTACGACGTAACCTACGCAAGTGGCCGATGTCATTGCTGGCATTTGTGCTGGTGCATTATGTATTAATTACCTTGTGGTCCTGGTGTTTTATGTGCAATGCCAGCTGACAGAAACTAATAAAATGCTCTGACTTCTTTCCCTCATGGGTCTCTACTCTTTTCAATCTACTTCTTTGTAGATTCCCTCATGTTCATTACGCAATCGCCTTCCAGGAATTTGCTGACATTCGTTAGTCTTTATTTTGATTCTATGGTTCTCATTCATTACATAAAGACAATGATTGTTATTTTCTCACTGATAGGTGAGGTGCACATCAGGTTACAGCGTAGGGCTTCAGATGAGTTTGCAGTTATTATGTAGCTACAGCATGAAGGACATAATGTTTGGACTTTTAGGAGTGTGAGCTCTTGTGTTGTAACTCATGAATGCAGTTTCCTGCAGCTATGAATGAAGCACTGTTAAAGAGCCACAGGTCTGAGCCATCATCAGATTTACAGCCATTTTCCTCAGACAGTGCTGTGACACTGAGTTTCTTTGATTTATTCTCAACATGGCTTCATTTTGGCCCATGCAGCCGAAGGGCCAGTGAGCTCATTCAATGGCAAGGCGTCATCCACAACTTACAAAAATCCCTATGATACTACACTTTGCAACAATAACTAAACCTCTAATAGTGTAACAACAGTCTTAAAGAAAACCTATTCATAACTGATCCCCATCCCAGTAAACAGTCAGTGCAGACAACAAGCGAAGCGCAATGAAAAAGTCCTAATTGATTTGAATCAACATCTGGACCCCAGGTCCACATACTGGAGTTTAGTTACCAGGTGTGCACCTTTTTATTGATTCTCACAGCTTATGCCCCTCTTTTCTCTTTTAATGTCATCTTATCTGGTTTTCATCTGGTATTTCGCCTATTTTGTGTGGTTGTTTTTTGTGTTATTGGCTGCTTTTATGGAGCTGCCCCAGAGCGCTTTCCTCTCACATGTTGACAGGGCCATAAAGGATAAAAAGAAATAAGTATTTCCCAGTTTACTGCGCCAATTTGTTGGTTGCATACTCTTATACATCGCATGGCTTTCTGCATAGCATGGTTATGCAATGGCACTTACCTTTCAGCATGAGTGTCTTGCAGTTTAATCAAACTTGGTTCAACGGGCCACGTCACACAGCGTTGCAGTCCAGCAGCCTTGAGCATATCGTTGTTAACAGTTCGCTGTCGTTGCTGTATAGATATGACAGACTTTGTAGAGTGTGGGAAACTGATTGTAACCTTGGTATTTAGGATAGTGTGTTTCTTTACAGTTACATAAACACACACACACACACACTCACAAAATTTAACATTGTTATATTGTGCCCATATGTTTCCCACCCTCAGCTTTCTCAGCCTGATTGCCAAGGCACATCTGGTCCTAATAAGGTGTGTGTGTGTTTGTGTGCGTGTGTGCGCGTGCCCCTTTGCTATGCAGCCTTTCAGCCTGGCCTTCTGTAGAAGTGGTGTTGAGTCTTTTACTGCCACCCACTGCTTTACAACACAAAGCCTATACTTTAAACTTTCGGGTAATAGTGCGTGTGCTCTGGTAAGATTGTGCTCTGATAGCAGTTATAAAAAACCACAGCTTATATTTTGTCTGTGCATATTTCAAGGCCTGTTAATCTGTTGTAACACTGCTGATTTTCCAGCTTTGATGCTGATAGCAGGGGAAGATTTGATATGACTGCAATCTGTGGGAACAGATTTAACCGAAAGTGCTCATCACCAGCTTTCGCTGAGGCACCAAAGCCTTGCAAGGAGATGTTTGGGGATTTCTTCAAGTTTTTTTTTTGCTCCCATCAATCTTGTGTCTTATATCCTTTCTCAAATATTCCCCTCCCCTAGCTTAGCACAGTTCCTTTGTCACCTGTTATGCTCATAGTTTAAAATCCTGAGGGGTATTAGCTTTAAACAAAAGCAGTTTACAGCTGTTGTGATGTTGACCCTGGCAACAAAATGGCCGCAGTCCAGTCCAGTCGACAATTAAAGGCTTCAGAGGGATCATAGTTAATGACATGCAGATCACCAATAACATGACTCAAACACAAGACTTTTCCTTGTCACGATCATCCATCTGAACGCCTCTCTCTTTCACCCCAGGGTTTGCCTTCCCAGAGTGGGCCTACAAGCCAGAGTCGAGCCCGGGCTCCAGGCAGATCCAGCTGTGGCACTTCATTCTGGAGCTGCTTCGGAAAGAGGAGTACCATGATGTCATCGCCTGGCAGGGAGACTACGGAGAGTTTGTCATCAAGGACCCAGACGAGGTGGCCCGCCTGTGGGGGGCGAGGAAGTGTAAACCGCAGATGAACTACGACAAGCTCAGCAGAGCACTCAGGTGGGACTAAAGAGTGGAGGGATGGTTTTAACACGGGTCTAACAGGCGTCAGCTTCTCAAACACGGTTCACTTTATATTTTGAAACACACGTTCAGCAAGACTTTAACCATTCAAACAAGACTACAACTCGCATTTATGAACAATATTTTCCACACATGAGATGAGTCTGGATTGTGCTTTAATGGTTCCCTCAGTTTATTTTATTTTTATTTTTTACTCCTTTACTCTCTTAGAGGTAAATACATTTTGCATTACACCCTGCAGTCATTCTCAGGGATGAAACTTGCTGATACTACCAACATGAATTACTGCGTGTTTGTAGTGGCTCCCCTTTTGTGCCTCAAGGGTTTAAGGTTCAACTTCAGACAGGAACTTTTGTCCTCGATGCTTCTAATTTTCACTCATTATCTGGTCACCCAATACTTGACTCCGGATGATCGCAGGTCCCTGAAGTCTTTTAAAATAAATGTGATACATAGTTGGTTTAAAAAAATCCCTTAAAATTTGTGTTTTTGCTCTAAATTCAGTTTGAAATGTGTTATTTTCATTGCACATGGAGAATTTTTGCCACACGATGCCACTTATTTCACACTCTCACACTTGGATCAGAAACAGTCCCGCTCACCAACAGGCTGCACCCAATCATGGTTAACCTTGTTCACATATAGTCAGTGAATACTTAACATAGTTGTTTATAAGCAGAAAAGATAAAAGTATATTTAAACACTTGGTATTAAAACAGCTTTGTTGTAGTTTGACCCTTTTGGTGATGGCTGCCTGTGTGTGTGTATGTATGTGTATATATATGTGTGTGTATATACACACACACACACACACACACACACACACACACACACACACACACACACACACACACACACACACACACACACACACACACACAGGGATAATTGGCAATAGACTTAAAATGGTTTGTTTGTTTTTTAAAAGAAGTGCAGAAGTCTTTGGCTGGCAAACACTCAAACAGAGACACCTGAACCTGATGATGAAGAAGACGTTCGCCAACCAGTCTGCTCATTAGTTTACGGAAATGAAAGATACAATTATCCTCAAGCCATTTGCTGTTAAAATGGCAACTCCTGATGATTAAAAGTGTTCCTGGAAATGATGAACAACATACTTTATTTTATCTGAAGTGACCTTTTTCCCCATTTGGAAAGTGTTTAGTTTTGTCCTTCATTTAATTAAAAGTGTTACTTAAAAGGTCTGAAAGTGTGAAATTAAAAAGTTAACCTTTGCTGTGCTTGCTAGTTGGCGCCAGGTTGGTTACATTGGCTTATTATTTTAGTAAATCATAAGCACAGTTACCTGTTGTTTCTAAGATGTTATCAGTCCAGTTCAGATCTGCACTACTTTAATGAGCTTTAGACTGTGTCGGAGTAAGCTGCAACACATTAGGTTAATGATGGTTTCTGTTTACTTTAAATCTTTCTTTTTTTTTCCCCCCCCCTCTAAATTATTCAGTTGGTCACCACTAACATCCCAAGTAACCAACCTGTAGCTAAGCTTAAAGTAAGCTTAGGTAGAAGCCTTCATCACCAAAGCCGAGCCGAGTTTTATCCATTCCACATCAGGACTGGAGAGCTAGGATGGCTCGTATTTGTTGATCTATTAACACCAATGAAAAAGAGCCAGCTTTTCCCAGCTAGCTGATACTAATGCTAAGCCATATACAGTGGAACCCCGACTTACAAATGCCCCATTTAACAAAAAATTCAAGTTACGAAGGCACTTGACGGCAATATTTCTGCCCGTGTTACAGCAAAATGCCCGTGTAACGAAATCCGCTGGCTCTGATTGGCTGAGCCCAGAATGCCTACAATGCCCACAATGCCTTCCGAATCATGTGACAACCCCCTTGGCTTTCGTACTTGTGCTTTGTTTTATTAGCCTATAACCTATCGTTCACTCAAAATGGGTGCTTCGACTTTGGAAAATTTTGTTTTTATAAAATCTATCCACAACGCAGGAGGGTAGACAGTTTCATAAATGTTAAGTTACAGCAGCTTGAATCGTGTTGTTTTGAACCTCGGGTGAACAAACTCAGTAAAGTGTGCTGGATTGATTTTTCAAATGGATCCTCTTTGAGGGTAGTAAAGTACATCAAACCACAGGGTTAGGATAACGGTCCATTCACACACAACAGAATTGGACTATGATTTATTTTTAAATTATACTGAGTCTCTTTTTTTGTTTTCTGTTCATTTGAACTTGCAGGTGTTGAAAACAAACTCGAATGATATTTGAAAAATTGGAGCTGAAGAATAGCTTTCATCATAGTTTACCATGAACTGTGCTCTATTTTACAGTGAGAGACAGCAGACAGACTCTGAACTATGGGGGGGAAAGCTTTTTTTCTTCATAATTCTTTTCAGATTTCTGTTTATTGTTCAGTAATAATTCATCATAAAGACATTTAGCTACATTTCTTACTTAGTTTGAGCTCTTTTTTTTTATTTTTCTGCCTTTTTCGTAACTTTGATGTAGATTTTGTTTGATTTTCAACAGTTTGCGAGGTGGAAGAAAAGGAAAAAAAAACAACTGGTGTGTAGTCGTGATTTGTGCATCTGCGCGGCATGCTGAAACTCCAGGGTGTCAGCCGATTTAGAAACATACACCTTCACCCTCTGCAGAGCACATGTGGGATGCTGCAAATTTTTATTTAGCTTCCAGTCTGTTCTTGTGAACACACACGCATCCAGTCACTGGTGTCGCCTCCTGTGTTGTAGGTTGGTGTGGGATATAGTTTGCTATGGTGATGACTAGTTATGCTGCCTCGTCACCACACATACACACACGCGCGCGCTCCTACAAACACACACAAACACTTAACACCTTGTTATATGTCAGCCCTCCTCCAGCCCATCTGTGTTGTTTGTTGCTTAAACTTTATTTTTTCCAACATAACTTCATATGCCTGCATATTTAAAGCGATGCTTTCCAAGCTTGAATTCAGATATCAACACCAGTTTGTTGATCAGAAAGGAACAATGATGATTTTCAAATTAGAATCAAGTATTTATTTTGCAGCATTGGTTGGCTGTTAGTATACCCAACAATAAAGATAACCAGTGCAACACAAGTTGGTGTTTCTGACTCATTTTAACTTCCGTTTGAGGTTGTATGGGTAGGGTGGCTAGCGCTTACACACATCCGCCACAATCCCCTAATCTTTTTTATTTTTATTTTTGTTGACTACTTTTTTGTCGAATGCATTAAGCGAGACAAACAACAAGCACAGCATCGATTCTTTCGAGCTCCGGCGCAGCTAATTGCACCTACGCCGGATAATGCTTGCATTTCAGAAGAAGCAATCGTCTGCATGTTGCTCAATAGTGTCCGAAACAAAAGCTTCATAAAGCTGCGCAGAGCGTATCAGTACAGGAAGTCGCACCCAGGAACGGCAGAGAGTCCGGTCAGTTTTCAAAATAAAAGACTTAGAGCAGACAAAATGTTGCGCTTCTGAAATGTCCACATTTCCACCTTCTGATAGTTCTTGTTATTGCACTGTCCTGAAGAGTTTGTAACCCCAACTCGAAGACAAGATCCTCTCTAAAGATTCAATGATGAGGCCATTGAGCCAGGCATTAGGGAAGACATAATGAGAGAGGCTGGGACTAACTAGTTGGCTACCACTGAGCTTGGAAATTAAGAGAGATTCAACCACTTGCAGCCAAATACACAACAAATCCATCACTAAGAAGTCATTGTATATCATAAAGGCTCGGCTTTTAATCCCCACTGTAGGAGCATTTCAAGCTTAACATGTTTAAAAGACAATCAGTACTAGCAGTTTTTGGTGAAAGTGTGGTTTCACCAAAGTCAAGTCACCAAACTGTATATTCTTTTTTTATTTACTCATAAAACTTTTCTGTTTACCAAATGGCCCAAAATAACAGAACGCACTAACAACTGCTAAGTAAAGCAGCAGACTCATTGCCTTAACTCTGTGCAGGCCAATGGTGCCCATGTGAGCTGTTACCCCCTGCAAAGACCTATTTTGAGCATAGAGGAAAAACCATCTGAAGTGACAACACATCAGGAAATATTTGGCAGCATTGTCTTTTAAGTTCAGTCTGAAACCACTGGGTGATAAACTGGGAGCCCCTTTGATGTCCTCTGTGAACTGAAACTTATTAAACTTGTTGCTAATACACAAAAACAGACCAAATGTGAGTGTGGGCATTACAGGGCTCTTATCCCCACGAAGGAACTAAGCCACAGAGAATTAACAGTATATTAACAGTCAGTTTGATATCTCAGCAGTTACTTTCTCCCTGCTCTCAGTGTTTCACATCAAGGAGCAGCTGGAGCCAGGCTCTGCTGTGAATGCCTTTTCTGTGGTTTTCTAAACCTTTTTAACAACGAGCTGTTAATTAATTCTGACGTCGTCAGAAGAAAGTCCTCTTCATCTTTGATTGATGCTTCTCGCCGCCTTTTGAAGCAAACATGCGCCGGTACACACATGAACGTTTCTTCATACGGTGCGTGTTATCGAGCGTATGTGTTTTTGGGCTCCTTCATATCTGCATGTGCGTTCGCTGCACAGAAGTCGCGTCTGTACGGTCCAAAGTCCTTTCTAGTTTGTTTGAAGGAAGTTCAAAGACCACGAGGCCTCGAGAGAACCGGGGCCCCACGATGTGAGACTGGCTGCCCCATGTTGACTCGGTGCTGTTTGAGATTGTGTATGCGTGTTTCTTTCACACATATGTGCCTGCCCTTTTCCCCGATTTGTTCAAAGTGCCTTCCATTTATCATGTCAGCGAACATTATGTCCACCAGCTTTCACAGCACGCACAGCCCTGATATTATTAAGACCCACACACAGATCCTGCCATTCAATGCTGTGTGTGTGTGTGTGTGTGTGTGTGTGTATATACTGATTTGTTATGAGTTTTTCCACCTCTTTTGTTTGCACTGGGTTTTGCCTGCACGCTCCTGTTAATTTTTCACCTCTACATAGTTCTCAAGTGTGGAAGCAAATAGCAGTACATGCCATTTGATTTTGATTTGACTTCATATTTCAAATCAGCTACTTTACAGAAGGAGGAAGGAAATTAAAAAAAACTTTAATGTGAGGCTGTAGGCTTGCAAAAAAGATTTAGGCGTCCACCAAAATCTTTGTTTTTCTTAACGCAAGGTTTAATTTACAGAGGTTTAATACGTAATTTGATTTATTAAATGGCCAACGAGTAGAAGAAAGGTAATACTAATTCATTGCCTAGTCGCGCCCTGAGAGGCGTGTGCACCCAAAGCACTAACTAAAGTATTTCTTCTTAACACCTTTTATTGTTAAGTTACTGTGATGCATAAAGGACAGTAAAGCTGTGTGGAAATGAGCCGTCGTTTGGCAGCTCCGTCAAAGTAAACTGACAGAAAAAGCTTCTTTCAGCTGCTCCCTAATTCACATGATTTCTCTATAGATTTTTATCCTTACACAAACCCAACGGGATTTAGGAAACCTAAAATGATGTGTCACACATTAATTTAGATTTTTAAAGATGTCCTGATACATAAAACCTGAGCGTTGAAAGGTGGTGTCCCTTGTTTTTCACCTTTTTCTGTTTTCCCTCTAGTTTGCTGTGCATGTCGGTAGTTTTTGTTGTTGGCTTGCCTGTTTTCTGCCTGCGTCGTATGTTTGAGCCTTTGTGCCTGTTGTATATCTGCCTGTAGTGCTGTGTGTGTGTGTGTCTGCGTTACATCTGCGTGGGCGTGCGTAGCAGTCGGCTGTCAGAAGAGGCCCTCCACTCATTGAGTCGCTGAGGGGCTGGGTGAGCTCCTGTTTCACTCACGGTTGTTCTCACTTGTTCCAGACTCCTCTGACTAATGCTCACACAGGAGCAGCTTCATTATTACCACTAATATTACATCCATGATTATTGGCTTTCTGTCACTTGCAGCGTGACTCATTGATTGGAGGAATATTTCACTTTGCAGTTACATCACTGCACAGTTAATATAAACGTATTGCGGCTGTTTCAACTGCACGTGTTTGGCTCTTGGGTTATGTATGCATGTTATTTGTCCACAAATAAACTATTGATCTTTCTACGTGAGGGTTATATATGGATCAATGGCCGCATTAGAGGCAGGCACACAAGCAAAATACTCGTAGTGTTTTATATTCAGCCACCTCCGACGCCGGAGAGCAGCTCAATACAATTTATTAACACTAAGAGGCTTATTTTTAGCTCTGTATTCACAGAAATCCATATTTCTCTCTTAATATGTAACCACTGAGCTCATCTGCACATGATGCCGCCGATAATGATGAACAGCTTCTTAGATTTCTCACATTGAAGTGACCGGTCACAGCTGAATGAGAGACACTGATGCCCAAGTTTTTTGTAAAGAAATATGAATGTAGTTTGTTCCCGAGGCTATCGGTGAGTCACAGGGAGCCATTTTATCGTCTTTCAGAGCTCGCTATTCACTCCTCTGCATCGCTGTGTGTATTGACGATGACTAATACAGCCTTACTAATGGAGCCGCCTGGGTAAGACGGAGTCTGAACGGCTGTCTCACTTCCTTAAGTAATCCCAGAGAGAGCTGGAATTTAACTGCGAACAGCTTGTTTAATTGTCTGCTGTACACTGAGCAGTGTAAAGCTACGACGCAGGGAGCGCTCTGAACAGCCACACTTTGGGCTTATTGTTTGTCGGTTTGATTTAATATGGCCAAAAACACCGATTCTGTAACATTAAGCATGAAAATCAACATTAAACATGAAAGTCTTGGTAAGTTGAAAGCCTGTTTGTGACCCTGAGGTTGAATGCAGCTGCTGTTCGTGTTTTATGTTCCTGTAGTTTTTTTCTCTCCTTATTTTAAGAGCTGAAAATCTTGTAATGACTCTAAACATCTTTCCGCTCATTTTACACCACTATGCACAACTTCTAGAAGACAGCTGAGCTTTGATTTGGTTTTAATATCCACAAAGGGGCTGCAGACTTAGTGTTTCTGATATACAGGCAAACATGTTGGCTAACGAGTGAGTTATCACTGGTGTCTTATCGTTCTGTGGCAGCTCAGCGCTGTGCTTATCCGTGCTTTCACACTCCTTTAAATGCGAGACTACAACAAAAGCGGCCACTATCAAAGTTTTACTACATGTTACTTAAGATGTGTTAGCGTGCTGGGACATAACATTGTTTTTGTCATTCTCTCTTCAGATACTACTACAACAAGAGGATCCTACACAAGACCAAAGGGAAGAGATTCACCTACAAGTTCAACTTCAACAAGCTAGTGCTGGTCAATTACCCCTTCATCGACATGGGCTCTGGTACGTTCACATCACATCACTTTTAATTCAACCACAGGGTTGTTCCTGGCTCAGCAGGTCCACATGTAAGGAGTCTGTTACCGGGCTTAACTGAAGTGATGTTATATTTTTCCCATCTGATAAGAAAAAAAGCATTTTACGTTTTGAGTAAAGCGAGCTTTGGGAAAACGTTTTTATTTTGGTGGAAAGCCAAAACGTCTTTCATTAGCACCACAAAAAAGTGATTTTCAGTCAAGGTGGGGGCTGTGGGAGGTTGGAGACACTTTACGAGGTGAACTTTAGTCTTAAAACACACGCTAGTCTGGGAATAAATCCCTACCTGATGGCCTCTTTCCCCACCAGCTCCACCTCCTTTTTTCCCCTCGTTTTCTTTTTTCTTTTCTTTTCCTTTCCTTTTTTTGGGATTTCTACTTAAAGTTAAAAATTCTCATCATGTTTTGATAATTTAAGCTGACAATCCTGTTAAATAATTAATTAAATTACCATAATCGATCAGATTAATTATTACTATGTTATTATCCTAGCTGTGCATCCCCACATGTGCTCTTTTCTTGTACACATGCTTTCTCAGCTGCTGCAGCAGGAATTTCCAATAATTGAACTTTACTTGATGGCAGGAGGAGAAATTCTTAAGTTTTGCAGGAGCAGTTGGGCATTAACGTGTTTTTGACGTGGCAAAAGAAACTGCAGCTCCCGGGGAGGCGGTGTTTGCTCCCACCGAGCCTCCGCTCTGACAGGTTTACAGCAATCAGCGACTAGCTGAGTTCATCACTGTGTTGTAGAGCTTGCGAATGTGGTGCTGAGACCTGCTACAATTCCTGCATCCGGCACATTTTCGAGCTCACAGGCTGCCCCAGCACCCCTTCTAACACTTCACTGACACCACCTCGTGTTGCAGTCTCTGCACCTTGTTTATGTAGTAGGATGTTATCCTTACCTGTTGGTTAATTTGGCGACAACCTTGAGGGTTCAGCAGGGATCATGTCGGTGAATATCTGCTCTTCTCGTAGACTCATGGATGCTCAGCTCATCTCGTCTGAGCTTGGTTAGCTCACGTAGTTATCTGTATTTTATCTCGATTTATACTCCGGGCCCTTAAGCAGGATTTTGGGTGCTCAGAATACTGAAAACAGAGATAATTTCCATTTATTTAGTGACATATAAAGATAAAGGGCTCAAGCTGAACATGGGGCATGTTTAAGAGTGTTATTAAAAATAGTTTTCAAGTGTCTGTGATTTAAATAAACGTGGCTTGTTGGCTCACCTTCTGACAGCTACTGCGAAATATGACTTGCATAGTTTTTTGTTGTTGTTTTTTTTAATATAAAACAGTTTTTAGGTGTCGTTTTTTCTCTTATTTCTCAGTAAAGATACCAGCAACGTGTTTGCCATGAACAGAAGATTATATTCTACTGCAAATCTAAATCTTTTTCTTTTCATTGCCCTGACTTTGGTTTGAAATCGGAGAAAGAATGCTTTTAAAGCCAACAAAGCCCAAAAGAGTGTATATAACAGACATTCAAATATTATTGTCTGAGAAAGTTTCCAGTCTGTGCGGTGGGGGGCCTCACTAATTTACTCGCCAAAGACAAATATTGTAGGTAAAGACTCGAACGTACTAATCCACCCTGCCTTGGTTACAGATGACATTCACTGAATTTAATTTAATTTTTTTTTTCTTTTAGTCTGAGCTGGATGCCATCCTAGTGAAACGTACAGCGTGTAAAATTTGTGCGCGCACGCCTGAGTGTGCCACGTCCCAGCTTCGCCCCGGTCTCGAAGCCGACTCTCGTTCTGGTCCCGGCCACCCAGTGTAAACACAGCCCATATGGAGCGTTAGATCCTGGGTGACATAAGTGCAGCACGAAACTTTAATTATAGCCTCCGTGTGATGTGGCCCACACACTGACATGTTGTGATATGATGGTTTCATGCGACGGTTGCACGCACGCCCACGTCAATCTGGATCGATTGGTGAGCACAGACGCGGCGAACATACATGCACGCATGCAGTTTTTCTCTCTGCGCTCGTCATCGCTGACACACATGGCAGATGTGCTCAGAAACCTCACTCAGCAGCTTTGGGGGGGAAAAAAAAAACAGAAGAGCCCAACCCATGTTTGTGATGGCAGTAAGAGCAACTTTTCCAATATTTAATTCTGGCACGTGCTCGGATGCCAAGAATTTATTGCCGTGCCACAGTCTCCCTGGCGAGGAGAGGGAGAGGAGGAGGGGGAGCGAAGGAGAAGGGAACTTGTGGCTTAGTGTGTAACTCGCTGTTTTTTTGTGTGTGTGTGCGCCTGTGACCCTCTGGTTAAAATAAAACCTCCTGTCATTAGTGACTTTTCCCATTCTCTTCAGGTTCAGGGGGTAGTTTGTGGAAATTTTAGAAATGTAAAAATCTAAAATAAGTCAGCTCGATGTTTCAGCCAGTGTTTTACGAGCTAGACTGAGGTAACTTAGTTTTCCCAATCCTCCCTGGGCCTGTCTTCAGATAGTCCACAGTGCTTTCATATTACTCCTGTGCATCCATTCACCAGCTTCCAGTGAAATTCAGAGGTTTTTTAAATCACATTATTTACATGAAAGCTCAAACATGGCCTGTTTCTGTAGCACACCTGCTAAGATCTTATTCTGGCATTCGCTCTTATTTTTAATCCAGTTCACAGACGAAAGGATGCATATGTAAAACTTGGTGACATCTGTTTGATTTTTGCTTCCTCACAGGCCGAGGAGTCCCCCAGAGTGCTCCGCCCGTGCCGTCCGGAGGCACCCACTTCCGTTTTCCCCCCTCCACACCATCCGAGGTCCTCTCATCCACAGAGGAGCTGCGCAGCCCGGGAATGTTCAGCAGCGTGGGCCGCCGCATGGCCCGCGGCTCCGTGAGCGACTGCAGCGACGGCACCTCCACCAACTCTGAGCTGGAGGAGGCTGTGGGTGCAGAGGACAGGGTTGGGGGTCCTGAGAGAGCTTTCAGGAGTCTCCTTCCCCCCCGCATGCCTCATGAGTCTCTGTTCAGGGTCTACGGTGGAGCCCCAAATCCTGGGCTCCCCAGACCTGCTCCCAGAGTCCACCCAGAGCCTCTGTCCCCATTCCCCATCTCACCCCTACCCGGCTCTGGAGGTCTGCTGGCCCCAACTCTCTCCCCAGCCCTGTCTATGACCCCCACCCCTCACCTCTCTTACACCCCGTCCCCCTCCATGTCGTCCCCCATGTTGGGCTCCCACTTCTCCTTCAACCCGGAGGACATGAAGCACTACCTACAGGCTCATACCCAGTCCGTCTACAACTACCACCTCAGCCCCCGAGCATTCCTCCACTACCCCAATATCGTCATCCCACAGCCCCACCGCCCCACCCCTGAGAAACCGGCCGCTGCACATCACCTCCACGGCCCACCCATGCCACTCTCTCATTCCCTCAGTCAGCAGCCCGGAGGCGGAGAGGAAGGACACCAGCATCCATCGCCATTCAAGTTCAAGCTGCAGCCACCTCCGCTCGGACGCAAGCAGAGGGAAGCGGGAAGCTCAATGGCCGCTTCTTCCTCCTCCTCTTCCAGCCAGTCCTCCTCGTTTACAGGGTCCAGTCAGATGACCAATTCTCTGCTGAGCAGAGGGCCGCCTAATATCAAGGTGAGTCTCCAAGCACACGTGCATGAGCCAAAATTGAGTTTGCATCACATCTCGTAAGACTGAAGGTGCAACTTTGTGTCCAGAAATTTCAGCCCGGCAAATCCACAAAAGTTACAAATATCTCTGAAATATCCTCTTCAGCTGGGTCACATTACAGCTTTATGTCATTTAGCTCAAACTGTTTAATGTGTCACCAGAAATATATTTAAGAAATTCTTTCTCTCCAGGTGGAGCCCATTTCAGACATAGAGTCAGAAGAAGATGTGGAGGTGACCGACATCAGCGAGGACGATGAAAAGAATCATAACGATGAGGACAATGAAGGCGATATCTTCACACCGACAGCTGGCCACAACAATCACCATCAGCTAAACAACCATCACCAGGCTAACGGAAACAGCAGCAGCCCCTCTGCTCCTCTTCCTCAGAACAATAACCCCGACGATGACCCCGACGATGAGGTCTTCAAGACCCCCGCCACGCCTCCTATCGGTGGGGGTGGTGGCCTGGCCTTCCCTCTGATCAGCCTGAAGAGCGAGCCGGGGAGCCAAGCAGCTCCCATCAGCCCCGGAGGCACGCGCTGCATCCCGCTGAAACTTCGCTTCAAGCGCCGCTGGAGCAAAGACCAGAAGATGGAGGCGGACGGAGAGAGGGACGAGGCAGAGGACAAGAAAGTGCGGGCTGAAGGCGAGGAGGAGGCGGAGAGAAGAGGAAGCGAGGTGGAGAACGGAGGAGGACGAGGAGAGGGGGTTATTTTGGGGCTAATGCTGCCGCCGCCTCCCACCCAGCGCAGAGCGAGCTCGGAGCTGCAGAGGGCCACAGCGCAGCTGTCTCTGGAGAACTCCGGCTGCTGAGCTCCACGCGTGCACAGGATCTGACTTGGAGACAAGACCTCGGATAGTCTCGTCGGTCCTCGCCAGCAGTAGTAAACGTAGCAGGATTTGATTTGACGCAAGAGTTCGTTTGATGCTAAAATGGAGACAAACGCTTAAAGGTTTAATGCGCTTTGATTTAGCTCTTCAGCTTCTATGTGAACATGTGTGTGTATCATATGCAGGAATGTGTGTTTTTGTGCAATAATTCGAGGAGTCGTTGGTCTCTTTTTCTCGTACACTTCTTAAATTGCAGAACAAAATATTTTCCTTCATATGAAACACCAACATGTTCAAATAGAGAGAAAGATTTGGCGGCTTTGTTTCCGTTTTCGCATCGTCACGTCTTTTGGCGGTCAGTACTGTCAGCAGGTAGCTGCTCGGCATTATGATGTATGTAAAAGCTTGTGTTGCCTCTAATGTACAGTAAGGCGAGACGCCTCGCATCTCACCAGATGCGGTGGACGCCGTCTCTCCTGTGACTCGAACACTAAGAGATAACCAAACTTAGATTGTACATGGATTTTTGCCCACTTCTATTTCTTTTAACATTAGAGTTCTGCAGAGAGGGCGTCTGCTCTTTAATATCCATTTGCACACTGCCTCATCCATCCCTCCACACCCTCACAGTGCCAGTAAGGTCTGCCATGGTTCCCCCCACATCGCATCTGTGCCCAGATTACGTCTTTGATGGGATTAATGGGTCCTTCTTCTGGAACTCTGAGACAAAATACAAGGGTGCAAAGATCCAGGTTGTAAGAAAGTAGAATTCCCCTCTCTCCTTTGTACTCACCATAACAGACAGTTCCTGATTTTAAAAAAGGAAGAAGAAGAAAAAGACTTTTAACCGCCCTGATAGAGATTATAGAAGTGCCTCTCTGTCTGCACCCGTCACCTTGCAGTTCCTTACAGGACGGAGAGCTGCGAGCTAAAAAAGAGCCGACCTCGCTCCGAAGGATCTTACGGACTTGAGGTGATTAGAAAGAGCTCAGCAATCAGCGGGGACACCATGGGACTGAGGGGCCTCCTCGTCCTCGGCTCGTTCGCTGTACAGACAAGAGATGAACGAAGCTGAAAAGGAGAGGACGGTTTTCCTGACCCGTCGCACAAGATTGTTTGCAAATTAATTCGACGTTGTACAGCAAAAAGCATCCGGGTCTGGGAAGAGAGCGGCGGATATTTCTCTCCAATTTTCTCTTCGGTTGTTGCGGAAATGAGGAAGCATCCACTAGCAAGGCTGTAATTACACACACTCCCACAGAAACAAGTGTGTGTGTTTGTGGACCCAAAGCTGGTGCACTAACCTCGAGGATACAGAGGGTTTCTCTGCTTTTTATGTCCCTGCGTGACTTCGCACAATCACCGAGGGGTTTTTGGAGGTTTGATGGCGTCTGATTTAAAAACTCGTCTGCATTCCCCTGATTTGTTTTTAGGACTTCTGTCAAAGGACGTTTGTGCCTCTTGAGGACGTGGACAGTATTTTAGGGCATTTTTGCAGTGATCTGAGGGCTTTCTGTGTTTTGGATATAATCTGTTCACGTGATGTTTTGTTTTTGTATTTGAGAAGCAGCGATTCGTCTAACGGCGGGGTGGGTGGGCGAACAAGAACGGGAACCATGAAATGAATGTCGAGCATCAAGGTTAACTCAGGCAAACCTTCACTGAGATGTTGCTATAACAGCTCATTTTTATGTCGTTTTATTCAGAGTTTTAAACAGAAATGTGCCTGTTTTAAAGAACAACAGGTAGATTGTGCCTTTTTTTTTTTTCTCGAGTTTTATTGACCTACCCCCGGCTTAATGTTTTATCTCACACACTCACAGAGTACCACCATGCCTTCTGCTTTTGTAAAAGATACAGAATAAGTAAATCTACACATATATATTTTATTCAAATATATATTGAATTCAAATATTATATTTCAATATGGTCATTTGATACAAATCAGGAGAATCCTACTATTTTTAATGGTAAAGATGTGTGTGTATATACTCTAATGGGCATATTATTACCAGTATAATTCAGCCTTTGCCTTCTCACCCTTGCCTTCTCTTTGACCGTTGAGCTGCAGCGACAAAAGGCCACTGGTATCAGAGTTTTATATTTATATTGTTCAAAAAAACGGGGGGGGAAGCAGTTATTGTGTATTCAGGGGACGGAGGGTGTGACTTGGAGAAAGGAGTGAACTTTTAACCCGGTGGTTCTCGAACTTAAAAGTTCACACCTCACACGCTTTTTTGTTGTTGTTGTTTTTTCCCTTATCAAACTTTCAGGCATCAAATTTGTTCGTTTTAGTTCCACTTCATGTTCCACAGTTTGAGACCTGCTGATTTAACCTGACCCGGGTTAACTCATTATGACTCTGTTATCTGGTGTGTTTGTTTTAATGCCCGTGGAGTGGCAGCTGGGTGGAGTTTAACCACCGCAACACGGGGTCGGTCACAAGAAAGGCAAATTTAGGAGGGGTTGTCCTCCCTTTTGCTCGCTCTCCGCCTGCCTCAAACTTAAAAATCAGCTTAAAAGAGGTGAAGGTCGCAAAACAGGGAGCGGGGAACGGGCTCGTGTGTTCAGGGCGCTTTCTGATTGGACGGCACAGGTATTCAGCTTCATGTTGCCACACGAGGTCAGCAGGGCCACAGCTGTGATAGGACTGGACTTTGACTGAGGATTCGAAGCTTTGTGTGTCTGTGCTGATCTGAAGCCTACACACACACACACACACACACACACACACACACACACAGTACGATGGTTAGCGAGGCTTTACTGTGGCTACAATAAAGGGAAACATGACATCACACCTGACATCAGACGCCTCCGCAGTCTCTTGGCACTGCCATAGAAACTGCAGCCAATCACACGCAGCGAGGAAACTGCATCAGTAAACCTCAGGGCAGAGTGGAGAGAGAGAGAGAGGGACTTCCCATAATCTGACTCGCTCATTCTTGTCTGTGTGTGTGTGGTTTCTATGGTTAAGCCGTTTACACACACACAGAGCTTTTTAACCCAGTCTGCAGAGTCTTGGTGCAGGTTTTAGTCCTGTTTGTCCAACCAGCTCCAGTCTCAAATCCATGTCCTAAACCAGGGGTGCCCAATCCCGGTCCTTGAGAGCTACCGTCCTGCAGCTTTTAGATGCATCCTTGTTCCCACACACCTGAATCAAATGAATGGCTTGTTATCAGGCCTTTGCCAAACATGATGGCATGCTGAAGAGATCAAACCATTTGATTCAGGTGTGTGGGAACAAGGATGCATCTAAAAGCTGCAGGACGGTAGCTCTCGAGGACCGGGATTGGGCACCCCTGCCCTAAACCAATCATCAGCTGTCTCCATCAGGCACGTGGTACGTGTCCACAGGGGTGTTTTGGACACACTTTTGAAGTTGATGAGCAAAAATCCCACCAGCTCTGATGAAGGACCCTGACAGCGTAGAGTCTGCATATCTGCTCACATGCATACATTTACCTAAAGACAGAGCACCTCCGGCTTTCTCCCTTCATTGCGTACAGCCTAGCGGGATTGCCTGGAGCTTGATTTGCTCTCACAGGTGTCACATTGCACCGGGCACCCCTGATTTGTTTAAAGCAGCCTCATCCTGATGACACCACCTTTGGCACCAGAAACACCCGTGGCCTCATTTTCAGGGCTCTTCTCTCGAGCAGTGTTGCTCTCTTAAATCCCACTCCTCCTTAAATTTGATTGGTCAGAGAGAGGTCACAGTGATGGGAAAAACCTACACCGTAAACTCTGAGGGAACTTCAAGGACAGATGTAGCAGTTAACACGAGTCTGGTAGAGGAAAATAAAAACACCCGAACTGTTACACCTGTGCTGCCTTACCTGACAACAGAATAACAGTTTCCCACCAGCTTCACATTTTCACTCCTCAGCCTCATCAGTGCTGTTCTTACCATTTTTCTTCTGTATTATTTCAGACGTATTACTGTTACTCTTGTAATTATTATCTTATTAACATTAATAATTTTTTAAAATTGCATTGTATCCTCTCGCCACGACCCGGCCTCTTCTCCATTAATTCCTGGTTTTCTGTGAGTTTGCGCTCTTTCCGTAACTAGTCGGCTTCAGTGCAGTCTTTATTTTTTATTATTTTTCTTTTAATTACGCTGATTTTATAACCGTGTTACCGTGGACAGGAGCGGGGTCACATTAACCCCCCCACGTGCTCTACAGCGAGGGGGTCAGAAACAGTCATTTTCATTTTATGATGATATGTATATATATTTTCCCTTTTTTTTTTTTTGGAGGACTCCGTAAGAAAACAAAGAGCATTGTACTGTTTAACCATTTTATTATCTGCAACGTGTCCCCCTGTGTTTTCACTCGGGTCTCTGTCTCTCCTCTCATGTCCACCTCAGCGGTGAGCGCTCACTCCAGAGGACAGACGGAGACTTTTTTTTTTTTTATGTCATGGAGGATCCACATGTACTTCTGTTTCACTGCTATCTGTTCATCTTCATTTGTAATTAAATAATAATCAGGGTTCATTAAAAAAAGGTCAGTTTCTGTCTTTATTTCATGTTTCTGCCACTGAAAACACAATGGGGAGTTTGTTTACTGACTTTGATGTTAGCTGGAGTTTTGAATTCAGGAAAATTTTAAATTTACTGAAATTTTTTGTAGATATTTTGACTGTAGATGAGTAAAATATACCCAGATACCTGGTTTGTTGTACCATTATCTAATATTTTCAGTAAAAATACACATTTAGAGTGGTAGATGCTCATGTAAAGTATATCCAAAACCCTATTTTGGTAAGGGGCAGGCAATCCATGGAGTAGGCTTAGGAAGTAGGTGACCTGACGGTGCTTCCTTTTGTCAGAGGTGCTGCACTGTTGTCCAAATAAGCATCATTTTAAACTGTGAATCATGCAAAGCTACTGTAGTAGAGTGTAAATTTTTATGATTGCCGCCCCCTTTTTTAAGGTTGGGATAAAGCAGTGATTCTAAGGCATTTTATACTATATTGTTTAAAAAAAAAAAAACACTGCACAAGCACTTTGCAACAGTGGGAAGGAAGAACGCCCTTTTAACAGGAAGGAACCTTCAGCACAGCCAGGCTCAGGGAGGGTTGAGAAAACCGACATGCTGCAGTGGCACATAAACTCGTCTGGTGTTGTGCTTTGTAGCGTACAGTCGCTACAAAGATGGCTAGCACCTAGTCATCCACAATTTCATCATTAGATGGTAAGCCTCGTGCTCACTATCTGATGATAAAGTTTACATTGTGCAGATACAGAACTTATAACACCTCTCAGGGGCACATGTCTATGATTCAGTTCCTTATAAAGATCATTATGCTATTGAGATCTGGAGACTGGCTAGGACACTCCATGACCTTAATGTGCTTCTTCAGCCACTCCTTTGTTGCCTTGGTGGTATGCTTTGGGTCACAGTCATGCTGGAAGATCCAAACACAGCCCATCTTCAGTACTGAGGGAAGGAGGTTCTCGTTGAAGATTTTACAGTACATGGCCCCTAAATGCAGTGAAGTCGTTTTGTGCTCTTAACAAAAACATAAAGCCAAACCGTAATGCTTCCACCTCTGTGCTTGACTGTGGGGATGGTGTTCTTTGGGTCATACTCAGCACTTTCTCCCAAGCGTTATCAGAATCATTTAGGCCCGCGGTGGGGAACTCCAGGCCTCAAGGGCTGGAGTCCTGCAGATTTTAGATCTCACCCTGGGTCAACACACCTGAATCAAATGATTAGTTCATTACCTGGAATTTTAAGACATGCTGAGGAAGTAATTTAGCCTTTTAAATCAGCTCTGTTGGATCAAGAACACGTCTAAAACCTGCAGGACACCGGCCCTAATAATCCATTTAAAATGGTCCGAAAGGCTTCAGCATCCCAATTTAGTAGAGGCTTCACTTAGTTATTTCGCTGCTAATGGTCTAGTTAAAAAAATCAAACTGCGCAAATGTTACAGAGGTAGAAACTATTCAAAGAGAACAAGTCCTCCCCTTGTGTCAGCTGTAAGCATGTTTACTTCTGCTGTTTACCTGGATTGACTCACTTTTGTAACGAGCCTCAGGTGGCCATTAAAGGAACTGCAGTCAGGCGCTTCACGTGGGCTTTGTTTTTCATCCCTGGAGGTTTCTGCTGGGCTCAAACCTGGTCTGCAAATGTTTCTCTGCTGTTCTGAACAGATGTTAAACTTGAACATGTAGCGGCTGGAATAACAGAAAATGTCTGATTCGTCTTCACAGTCAGGTCTTTTAACATTTTCTAGATAATTAATGAACAGATAACGAATATAATCATTAGCGACATCCTGATTGGCTGTTAAAAGAGGAGAATTTGAAGCCGCTTGCCAGCTTTTACTCACTTGCTGACGTGTGCCAAACTATTACTGAGTCAGATCGTTTTGTTTTCAGCAACCTGCAGCCTCTGAACGCTTCGTGACTCAACTGATGTCAACAGCAAGTTAAGTGCTTTGTACTCGTCTAAGTCTCTGCACATTTTATGAAAGAAAGCCATCCATGGATAAACATTCCCACTTCTTTTCGCTGTAGGCCTGCAACACTGATTAAAACCAGTGTTTTTGTGAGTTCAGGTGTAGAAAGGTCTTTAAAACAAAGACAAGATGTTAAATTAGGATTCTGGTGAAACCAGGGCGTTAGTGCAATGACAGGAATGAGTCAAACATCCTGTTTATTGCTTTTCATTTATGTTTTTTTCCATTAAATTTCAGTATGAGTGCAGCAGCAGTGCACATGGCCAGCATTAGTCATGACTGCCCTGAGAGT